TCCCTCCTTCTTCCCTTCTCTCTCTTTCTTTCCTTCCCTCTTTCTTTTCCTTCCCTCTTTCCTTCCTTCTTTTCTTCTCTTTCTTTCCCCCTTTCCTAATGTATACTAATGAGCTACTAGGCTATTAGCATAACATCTCATTAGCATATGACACAAGAAGGGGAAGCAAAAGGGGGGGCTCCTGCAGCTCTTTTTCTACGAAAAGACCCCTGCACCTCAGTAGATTTTATATACTTACTTTACAGCCACAGCCCATTTGGTATCTCTGATTTAGACTTTTCTTTTGAGAAAGTGTCAGGTCATCCCATGGTTCAATGTAATTGCACAAATGGATGAGGACTTTGCCATCATTTAAAATTTGCCCTGCAAAAACAACAAAATACTGTACTTAATTCTTAATACCAGAGATGCAGTTCATGTCCATTAAAGGAATGATAGTTTCACTTAACTTTAGGATAAAATCTACAAGTTATGCTGAAGGAAAATGCTAGACTATGGAGTCACCATGCACACGATTTGAAAATGCAGTTAGCATTTTAAATTAACACATTTTCCAAAAAAGTTATAATTTTATTAGAAATTTCATTGGTGTTACATAAGTGTGCTAAGCTATGTAAAATATTGCTGTCCAAGCTTTATGTATACTTGAGCTGCATTAATTAAACCATTTTAAAAGATTTAAGTGTAGCATCTGTAAAATCACCAATACTTAATCGTACCACCTATGGTTTAGAACATATATTATGCAGTGCCTTTGCTTGAATGCACTGTACCTGTAAGGAGATATTGCTTCTTGTTATTGGCTTCTAATTTTATACCACAGAGAGAAGAGTCAAAAGGTGTGTAGACATATTGAACATCTTTCAATTTTTCAAATCCTTTAAACATCTGTTTTAGAATAACAGAAAGACAAATGTAGTTACAAGAAGGTAGTTACAAAGAAGGTAGTTACAATAAATTATAGGATTTTATTGCTACTATATTAAAATATGTATTATATATTAATGCTTTATTATGAATACATCTAATTCTCAATCTGTGGATACTTAAATCCAGAGACTGGACCCATGAACATACAGATCATTCTACAAACCTAAGAAAAGCTCCAGGTTTGCAGCAAAATCTAAAACAAACAAAAAGTACACTGGGGCTTAACTTCCCCCAAAAAATAACAGAAGCAGCACCTGCACATTTTTTAAATGGAAGCTCTCTGAGATCTCAGTGACTGTTGCCAGCCTTCACGCCTTAGTTTCTTTCAGTAAATGGTGGAAAGGAGTGGGCAGGTGTGATGGACTGTCAAGGGTTAACGCCTAACAGAGTCTGAGAACCTTTCAGTGACAGGCTGTTTGAACAGAACTCTGTTGAGAGTCAGTTAAGGAATGATAGTTGGGAACTGACAATTGAAGAAGAGACAGTTAAGCACTGACTGTGGACTGGAAAGGAGGCTAAGAGAGTGAGTGGATCAAGGAGGATCCTCATTCAAGCCAGAAAAGTGAAATAGCTTCTAGTAAAGAAAAGTA